CCTGAGTTCAATCCCCAGTTCCACAAAAAAAAAAAAGAAAGGAAAAGAAACATTAGTATCATGTGTCAATAATAAACTTGTTTGCCAGAAAAAGTCATCTGAAAAGAAAGTCACTAAATTTACTATATATAAATTAGTACTTGGTTTCAATAACCTTTATTATATCAAGAACTATTTAGGAAATATAATAGAAGAAATTCTTTTATAAAAGGCAACAAAAACATGAAAATAAAAACTAGGAAAAAGGTGCTTATTAATTGAATTGTGTGCCTCCTGAAAAGATATAGTAAAGTCCTAACTTGCAGTACCTCCAAATATGGTCTTAATTGATCACAAGGTCATAGCAGATATAATTAAGATAGGCCATACTAGAACAGACTGAGCCCCTAATCTAGCATGACTATATTCCCCCTTATGGTACCTGAGATTGAACCCAGTGCTATTCTACCTGTGAGTTACGTCTGCAGGCATTTTTTACTAAGTTATCCAGGCTGGTCTCCAACTTTCAACCTTTCTGCCTCAGCACCCCCAAGCAGTTGAGATTGTAGGTGTGTGCCACTGCACTCAGCATGATGGGTGTTCACATGAAATGAATGCTACGTGAAGTGATAATGATAATGCTCTGTGAAGATGGAACAAAGAATGGACTTATGCTGCCAAAGACCAAAGAACACCAGGGACTATCAGAAGCTGAAAGAGGCAAGGAAGGCTTTTTTCTCTATAGATTTCAAAGAGAACATGGCTATACTAACATCTTAAGTTTGGATTTCTAGCCTCCAGAACTAAAAAAAATAAATTTCTATTATTCTAATTTACCAAGTTTTGGCATCCTTAAGAAATTAAAAGGCATAATGCATCCCTGAAAGAGAACATTCACTAGCATAGAGACGACATTAATCATGAGTTAATCTGTCAAGTTCAAGTGGTAACAATATAAAAGTTTGAAAATACAAGTAATAGCTAAAAGGAAATGACACTAGGAGTGGCTACCACAGAGGAAAAAGAGGTAAGAAAGAATTACTTTTCAACATATAACTTTTTGTATATTTTAAAATACTTGTACATTTTAAAAACCAGGTAATATTTATGATCACTACAGTAATCTATAAAATGAGAACAGACAATGAGATGGTAAAAACTGAATGTAAAGATTATAACATAAAACCAGAGGGGCCTGCCAAATAGCTCAGTGGATTAAAACACCTGCTTAAGCAGATGCAGGGGCCAGGCGTTCGATCCTCAGGCCTGCTGTGCCAATCTCACCCCCAGGGCACACTGAGATGCCAATTGAGACAGGGTGTGAGTGGCGCGTGTCTGTAATCCCAGCACTTAGGAGACTGTAAACAGGAGAATCACTACGAGTCCAACCTACATAATGAGACACTGAACATCCTGTAGACCCTGCCCTAAAATACAGAAAAAATAAAATAAAACCAGAGAAGTCATGTAGGTTAAGTGGAGTAAATGGAATAAGCAGAGGAAAGAAAAATTGAAAACCTGGAGTTACATGTAATAAATATGTGTATTTATCCTTGATTTTATCAAACCACACTAATATTAAATGAATGAATAGGTATATACAACATTTTGAAAAAAGAACAAAAGACAAACATGTAAAGATAACTTTAAGCAGATGAAAAAATGGGCTATTACTTGAAATAAGAATTTAGAAAGCAGAATCCAAGGTCCCTGAAGAAGATGTCAAAAAGCAAAGTTCAAAGCCTACTACATAACTAGGGAAAAGCTCAGGAATTAACAAAATCATGTACATGAAAGATGGAAATGCATGGAGGGGTAGGAACTAGAGGGCTGATGAAAAGTCTTACATGAAAAACACACAATGAGGGGCCCACAACTGGTTTACCCTACAGATGATGGAAGATTATTCTTTGACTCACAGAAATGAAAACAGAGAGGTTCCAGGATCATGGCCAGGCAGAAGAGTACAGTGTAAAGAAACTGGGTTGAACATACAAAGAATAAGTGAAAAGTCTTTATGCACATTCAAGCTCTAGTTGCTGCTTTCCTCCAATAGGGAAATGGAGATTATTTTCAGACTGAGAAGTGAGGAAAAAATTCCTGTGAAGCTGTCCTATAATCAGGTAATTAGTAACTTAGCTGTAGGTTATAAATGTAAAAAAGGAAATAAAAGCTAAACTCTTAAATCACATTCCAAGAAAAAGAGGACCATCATTAGGGAAAAGATGCTGAAGGGGTCAATAAAATCAAATTGGTATGGTACTATCTTAATAAGTGCAAGAGAATTCTAAGGGCAAGACCAAAATAATAAATGTGACAGAAAAGACTTCATGTTTTAAAATGATGGCATAAAAGTGTCTCTGATTTATTTTCCTCTCTATAAACAAGGAATATAAACCAAAGAAGTAGTTGTAAACTCCAATTACAATAAATGAGTCAGCAGTGACAAATACAATGACTACTGCACCAGAGGAAGAAAGATTCCAAGAGAAGCCAACTTTTGGCAGAGCTAATCACTGTCAGTGTCAAAGAGGCATAATACCATACCCAGAAGGTCAGAATTAATGCTTGCATTGAAATTTGGGAGTGCAGATTAGTTACAGAAGACTTGATATCCCCAGATATATCAGGGAAGCCAAGACTGAACATGGAAACATTCCAACACACTGTCTGTTCAGGATGAAGTGTGTTGATGTGAAGGTATAAGATTCAGAGTGTAATCTTTTTTACTTGTTCATTTTGTTTTTTGAGACAAGTTATCACTATGCAGTTTAGACTGGCCTTGAGCTTACTTTGAAGCCCAGACTGGTATTGAATGCCCTACGATTATTCTGTCTCAGCCTCCCAAGTGCTGGGATTAAAGGCATGTGCTGCCACCATACCTGGCACTTCAGAGTTAAGTGGTACTGCAAAGAGTATAATACTCAGACGTGTAGCTGCAGTTACTTTCTGAATGAGGATAAACAAAGTCTAAACATACTTATTTATGCAACCATTTTTATAATCAAGGTTGGCAAATATTTTCTTATAGTCTTTTTTTTTTTTTAAACCAAATTGGTAGGACAGTTTCAATAATTAACACATTGTTAATACATTCTTCCTAGTGGTTAATTGCTCTACAAGATGCGGACTTGATATCCTATTTACAAACACTGTTAGAACAAATCCCTCTATTCATTAAGAGAATGTAACTATATATCTATCCTAACCATTTTAAAAACACAAATACAATATGCACATTCATCTGTATCCCCCCCTTTTTTTTTGTTTAGTTCCGTTATTTGAATATTATAGGTGTGTTAACTCAGCAAAATATTCTAAAAGAGTCCAGTAGCCCATAATAGTATTGGGTCTTCCGCTTGACT